CTTCAATCTTCATACATTGTTCTTCGTACCTTCATTTCTTCTTCTTCCCATCTTCAAATCTCCATACTTCATCCTTGATCCTCTATGTTTGACCTTCAAATCTTCATCACCATCCTCAAATCATCATCACCATCTTCAATCTTCATACTCACCTTCATACATTCATATTTCCCAGAACTCGATGGCGAAGACTTTGAAATCCGTGCCTTAACAGACTGTCTCTTCAACTTCTAATCCAACCATAGATTTTGAGGTGGTCATACCAGAAATGGCCCTAGAACATCCTCTGAATAACTTCATTCCCGGAGGCTGCTCTATAGAAAATGACTTCAAAGTTGAAAAGGCTTCCAATCAACAGGATCAAGGCGAGGAGGTATGGAGGTAGATATGCTCCATCATAGAGGATGCGTTTCCCACGATTCAGGAGGACTGCAAATGGGAGGGAAAATAAGTGCTCATCCCCGGTGCTGATGAGGACATCATCACACATGTGGAGGGGGTACTAAGTGTTTACACATCACCCTTCACACTTGCCCCGGTGGATCCCATAGTCTTCGACTTTTACAAAAGGTACGAGGTCTACCTCGGGTAGATTCACTTGTCCTTTTGGAGGATTGTGATCCTCCTCCGCCACTTTGTTAGTAACACTAATGCACTCCGGTTCACCATCGACCGTATGCTTCATCTCTAAAGTCCCCAAATCTTCCGATGGGGATTAATAAAACTCATTTTTCGGGCAAAGAAATCTTTATTCTTGAGCATTGACGAAAATAGGGATCGATGATGGCTGGGGAGATTTGTTTGGGTGAAAATCGAGGATCTCATTCCCTCTGAGTTCCTGTCGTTCCCTAAACATGGAACCTAGCACGTAAGTTTCTCTCCTTCTCGAGTATTTAGAATTTCTTGTGGATTTTTGTTCTTCTTTTTCATTGACTATTTCTTTCATCGTGCAGCGGTTGCCCGAGTCCCCAACACAGTTCCCTATTTCAAAGAGTGGGTCGAGGGGATCTGCACACAGATGTCATATTTGGAGCACGAATAGCGCAAACTCCAAATGGCAAGTTGGAGGTCCGTTCCCATGGTGAGTGCTCTTCCTAATCAAACTTACTTACATATTGAACTATCATTTTCACTAAATCCCTCTCTTTTCTTTCATAGGTTTGCCCAAAACCACTGAGCTCTAGGCATTAGATGTGGACAAGGCTTCATCCTTACCCTACAAACCCTCATCTTCGGGACAGTCTAAGACTGTTACGAAGAAGGAGGAGAAAAAGAGAAGAAAGAGGAAATCTTTGGGTTCCCCGAACCCTGAAGCCAAGAAGAAGAGGGTAGCGGTCCAGGCCCAAAAGAGCAACAAGAAGAGTACCCGTTTAGGGTACTGGACACCGATTCCCTCTACCGACTTAGGGACTATCCTAAAGATGACTAATTGGAGTTCATCGCTCATGGGCCGACTATTGATAAAGAAGAGCGGGCGACAACTAGGGGAAGTTGCCAAGAGTTTGACCCCTCTTTGGATCGGGAGCCAAAAGGAAAATTAGCGGCTATGGACTCCTAAGAAGCTACCTCTGCTCCAAGGGAATCCACCGATGTCATTGACATCATAAAATCGCTATCTCATAAAAAGTCCTTACTCGGTGAGGCTCAGGCCTCCAGGGAGAAACCAAACGTGATGGCACGAGCTGTAGATGAGGCCCTCAACCTGTTCTTTGAGGGTGTGGACATCGACAGTTGGAGGATTACTCTAGGTTTGTCACATGGAGATCCCAAAAAGACATGTCATCAGAACCAGGAGGGCCGAGATGGAGCTCGAAGCTGGTGAAGTAGTTCCCCGCTCCGAGTGTGGACCCCGACCATAAAAGAACAGTTGTGTTTATGACCCCTACGAATATCAAGTGCAGTTTGAATCGGTTGGTGTGACCAGTTATCTTCGCTGATTGGTGACCGAAGAGGATCAGGCGAAGATGAACGAGGTGAGCACTCCGAGACTCTTTAATGAGGCACAACAAGCACTGAATCGGGTATGTTTCCCTTTCTTTTTGTCCTTCGTTTAGCTCATTTAACTTTATCGTATCTTCATGATCTCATTAGTTTGTTTTTCATGCTTCAGTGCTCCGTCATGAAACCTTCCATTGGTCTTAGATGAAATTTAACCAGCTTGATTTCGTGCTCAAGGAGCAAGTCTGACAGAAGGATATGTATAAGGCTCTTAGCGAGAAAAGAGACGAAGCCCTCAGTGATCTCCCCATTCTCTAAGCTGAGCTAGAAAAAACTCAAAGGGAGGCTTTGTTTGTGAAATGGGAGCATTCCGAACTAGCCGGGAAGGTAAGGATATTTGAGATTCAAAACGAGAGGTTAAGCGTAGCAGCTAATGATGCAATCTTGTAGGTCCAAGATAAGATAGACCTGATTGACCAACTTTGGGCAAAGATAGATGAGCTTAAAGCTTCAGCCAAGAAGTTAAGGACCAGGATGGACCTTCTAGCCTTGGAAAATGAGGCTACCAAAGAGGAGTTGCCATCGGTCAAGGACCAGCTCTGGGTGAAAAAGGATAAGGCCGACAAGTGGTCTCGACTAAATGATGAGCTCTGAGCATAACTAGATTTGGCCGTTTTGGAACAGGACGACCTCGCCCGGAAGTATACCGCGTTGAAGTCCAAGTTAAAGGAAACTTCGACCAATTCATCCGAGGTCGAGGACATGCTGGACGAATACAAAAACGACGTGGAAATAGTTGAGGCCTGCTTGATAACAAAGGCTGAGTACATAAAGTGGCTATCCCGGATGGAGACCCTCAAGGGGATTCACGCCTGGGGTTTCGAAGTGTCGACCGAGATTAAAAAGGCCAAAAGGCTCGAGGCTGAGGCTAAAGAGCTATAGCCCAAGGTTTCTGGTACTGAATCGGACTTTGGTGAAGACTAGGCAGAGATGTCTTAGCTTATTTTTCAGTTTCTTTTGTACATTTCTTTTTATTTTTTAGGCCCTTTTATCATGCCTTTGTAAATATTTTTGGAATATATATAATTTTCCCTTCGGCTATACTGTGTATTTTACTTTTCAGTATCTATTTGCAACTTTTTATTTGAAGATTGTCATTAGTGCCTTAGCATAAAATGGAACATAATCTAGAGTACTCGTTCCCCCAAAGCTCGAATGAGGCATGGTTTCGATAACAACTCTGAGTTGCTTATGCTTGAAATACTTAATAAAAAATGAAGACTTTTAAGATACTTGAATGTTTAAATCATACACAACGGTGTTTTCCGAGGGAAACCTTTTAATAGTTTTAATCATATGTAAGGACCTTACTTTATGAGTACAGACTTGGACGCCTCCAAGCCGTTTTGAGTTGGCCGTAGCCTTTCATGTTCGAGCCATGTCTAATAGGGTCAGTGCCTCTGGGATTCGATAGACCGAGCTGTTTGATCTTTTTATCGGACAATAGTCCCCGACTCGGGGAGGCCCGTAGTCTCTAGGATTTAGGATCCGTTATTTGCTTTAAGTAACTCAATGAATATATAGAAGGTGTAAATGTGATGTGATAATATATAGGGAGGCAAATTTCTTTCATTGCTTTGCATGTATAGTACATAATCGAAGGTGCATAAGCTTTCTGCCATAGCAAGAATGAGCTACACAGGTATGGCTCATTTGACCGTTTGACCCTTAAAACAAATTCTAATAATCGAGCCCTGGCATTTAATATCAAATAATAACACATTCTAAGGATCCTAACTTAGGGGGTAATGGCCCTCTAGCCCCAGTATTTGAGACTGAACTTTTGAAGGCTCGAATATTGTTGGTCCAGTACGGGTGGTCAACAATTCCGGCCTCAGGCCGGCCTTCAAAACAAAGGTAGCACATTTTACTATTGCATCGTTAAGAAACTTGTTGTAAAACCCACTTCGGGAAAATCGGTCCAAGGGAAAAAGACACATGCTTTTAGACTTAATTGTCAAATTTACCCTCGGTCGAGTACCTACATAAGTTAGTCCAAAGTATAACAATTTGAAAGGGAATTTTGTTTGTACCTTAGCAGTAGTATTGCATCAAGTGTGCCACGTTCCAGTTGTTTGTTACTTTCACACCGTTCCCCGACTCAAGCTTATATGAACCTTTCCCGGTTATTCTGGCAACTCTATACGTCCCTTTCTAGTTCGGGCCTAGTTTCCCGTCGTTTGGGTTCTTGGTGTGTAGAGTTACTTTCTTTAATACAAAGTCCCCAACTTGGAAATATCAAATGTTAGCTCTTCGGCTGCATTACCTCTCCACTCGCTACTTTTGGGCAGCTAATCGGACCAGGGCGGCTTCTCCCCTTTCGTCCTATAAGTCTAAACTCGTGGCCATGGCCTTGCCCTTTGACATCTCAGTAGCATACTGGAACCTTAGGCTTGGTTCCCCCACCTCGATCGGGATTAGGGCTTCCACATTATAGACTAAAGAGAACGGGGTCACATCGGTACTTGAATTCGAAGTCATTCGGTATGCCACAAGATTTGGGGCAAGAATTCATTCCTCTTTCTCTTTGAATCGGTCAATCTCTTCTTCAAGTTTTGGAGTATAGTTTTGTTCGTTGAATCCGCTTGTCTGTTCCCACTAGGGTGGTAAGGTGGATAATATCTTTTCGATATTGTGGTCTTCGGGAAACTTGCTTACCTTGTTGCCGACAGACTCCTTTTAGTTGTGGCAAATGATCTCGGCCGGTATCCCGATTCCAAATATTAAGTGATCCCAAATGAAGTCAATGACCTCTTTCTACGAACCTTTTCAAATGCCTGAGCTTTGACTCACTTGGAGAAATAATCGGTCATGAGTAGTTTGTATTGGGCTTTACCGGGTGCCCATGGCAGGGGACTGACGATGTCCATCCCCCATTTTATAAACAGCCACGACGATAGGACCAAGTGAAGCATTTCTCTTGGTTGATAAATCATTGGGGAGTGTCTTTGGCACTCATTGCATTTCTGTACGAAGTCTTTCACATCCTTCTCTATCTTGTTCTAGTAGTAACTGACTCTGATCAATTTCCAAACAAAGGATTCTACTCCTGCGTGCTTTCTACAAGTGCCCTCGTGTACTTCTCTCATGGCATATTCAGTCTCCCCCAGACCCAAACACCTAGCTAGTGGCCCAAAAAAGGATCTTCTAAACAATTGCCCCTCGACCAAGCCAAACCTGGCAGCTTTGGCGCATAGGATTCTTGACTCCTTGGGGTCCGATGGCAATTTTCCTTTCTTCAGGTATTCTATGTATTTGTTTCTGAAGTTCCAAGTCAAGCTTGTCGAGTTCACCTCGGCGTGGCCTTCTTCTACTATGGAGTTCATCAACTGTACTACTGCCCCCGAGTCGAATTCATCGAAGTCGACCGACGACTCCAAGTTGGCCAATGCATCGGTTTCGTTATTTTGATCCTAAGGTATATTCTATAGAGTCCATTCTATAATTGGTGTAAGGTCAACTGTAACGTATCCAAGTACCTCCTCATCCGCTTCTCATTTACTTCAAACATCCCGTTGACTTGGTTTACGATAAAGAGAGAGTCACATTTGGCCTTGATCAGTTTGTTCCCCGAGGATCTTTGCCAGTTCTAGACTTGCAATCATATCCTCATACTCGGCTTCATTGTTAGTCAATTTTATAATTCTAATAGACTACCTGATTACGTTACCCGTAGGTAAGTTTAATACAATGTCGAGCCTAGACCCTTCACGTTGGAAGCACCATCCGTGAATAGGGTCTAGATCCCCAAACTAATCCCCAAAGTGAGCAGTAATTCCTTCTCGACCTCGGGGACCAAGGTCGGCATAAATTCAGCCACAAAGTCCGCGAAAGTCATATTCGATATCGTACCCGCTAATTTCTACGACCCTTTTGGCCAACCGACCCAAGAGCTCGGGCTTATGCATGACATTCCTTAGTGGGTACGAGGTCACGACACATATGGGGTGGCACTGAAAGTATGATTTTAATTTCCTAGAGTGCTTAATAAAGCGAGCGCTAATTTTTATTAGCGTGGATTCCTTGTTTCGACATCGCCTAGGGTTCTACTAACATAATAAATAGGAAATTGTATACCTTCTTCTTCCGGAACCAGGACCCCACTTACCTCCACCTCGGAAACTTCCAAGCAGAGGTATAGTTGTTCGTCTGCCTTCGGAGTGTGCAATAAGGGAGGGATCGACAGGTATCGCCTGAGTTCTTCTAAAGCTTCCTAACATTCCGGGGTCTAAGAGAAGCCGATCTTCTTTTCAATAGTGAGAAAACCAGATGGATCTTATCCGACAATCTCGAAATAAACCGGTGTATACGGTGAAATCGGGGGAAACAATTTCTCATTAATAAGGCATTTCGGGAGGTCACCTCGGAGGCTCGAGACCACAGACCGAGTACCACCCCTATCGACACCTGACCTGGGGATAATGTTGGCCGAGACCCCATAGGGCATGGGGAGTTTTCGAAGAATGTAGTCGGGGCCGGTTAAGTCTATCAGTCTAGTCTAAAAGCTGGTCTGTACCTGCATCATGAAGCTAGTCAGCTGTCCCATCCCGCTTTCTTTATCATTAATGTATATTGTACTATGTTGGGATTTTCCCTCCTATATAAGGGAGATCCTTGGCACTTTGTAAACTCTGTTGCTCCAACTATTCTACGAAAGATAAATAACAACTCTCTCTCTCTCTCTCTCTCTCTCTCTCTCTCTCTCTCTCTCTTTTCTCTCTAACATATTCCTTTGATATTATTGCTTTCATTTATTAAGTTCATACTTGTTCTTCATTTACTGCTTATCATTGGCCATAAGGAGCCTCTCTTAATTATATCTTAACTATTATCCCTTTCCCGATTATCTCCGATAGCTCGAGCCCGAGCCTAGGCATCGACCTCGAGGCCCCTTATTGGTCAGTCTGAGGCCCAAATAGCTAACCCCTCGGTTTGGTTTTAACTCTACTTTAGTTCGCATTTCGTCTTTAAACTTCATTACCTAGCATCAACTGCTTAACAACTAGCATAAAAATAGATCTTTTATTTTTAGAGTCCCATCAACAAATTTAATTGTTATTACCATTTTCACGGTAAACAACCGGCCCAACTCGGGTATCCGCCTAATAAGTCTTTGTACTGCCTTAACGTTGTCAATTACGGTGATGTCTTATATAGCTTTTATTTTGTCTGGGCTGATCTCTATTCCCCGGCTAGATACCATGAAGCCGATGAACTTGCCCGAGCTGACCTCGAAGGCATACTTCTCCGGGTTTAGCTTCACGTTGTACTTCCTCAATATGTCAAAGATTTCCTACAAATGTTTCAAATGTTCCTCTTCTCGTAGGGACTTAACCAACATATCATCAATAAAAACTTCCATTTATTTCCCTATTTGATCTTCGAACATTCGGTTAAAGGCATTGGTACGTGGCATTGGCATTCTTTAGTCCAAATGGCATTACATTATAACAGTAGGTGCCGAATTTGATTATGACATAAGTCTTTTCTTGATCGCCTGGGTCCATCTAAATTTGGTTGTACCTGAAATAAGCATCGAGAAAACACAATATCTTGTGTCCGTCCATCGCGACGATCGTTCGATCGGTGTTGGGCAAAGGAAAAGAGTCCTTTGGACACGCCTTGTTTAGATCCTTATAATCTACACACATCGTAAGTATGTTTCTCTTTTTAGGCACGACTACTACGTTAGCTAACCAATCCTGGTATTAAACTTCCCATATGGATTCAGAAGTTTAGATACCTTCTCTTTGATGAATGCGTGTTTCATCTCGGACTGTGGCCTTCTCTTCTATTTAATCGGATGGAATTTTAGATCCAAGCTCAATTTGTGAGTTGTTACCTCCAGTGGGATCCCTGTCATATCTATATGGAACCAGGTGAAACAATCGGTATTAACTTTAAGAAAACCAATATGTTTTTTCCTGAGCTCGGGGGTTAGTCCCGTGCCTAGGTATACCTTTCGATTTGGTAGGTGCTCGATCAATATAACCTGCTCCAACTCCTCAATCGTTGACTTAATGGCATCAGTGTCATCGGGGGCCATAAAAGATCTTGGGATACCGTAATCATCCTCATCATCCCCTCTGTGCTCTTGCTGTTTTTCCAGCTCGGTTGAGGCCAGGATCATTGATTGCTATTTGGTTACCTTTTCTTTGGTCAGTTCCCTTCTTTTTGATGTCGAAACTGTCGGCACCGAGATTAATTCATCGACAACGAACATTTCCTTTGCGGCTGGTTGTTCCCTGTAGACTGTTTTGACTCCTCCCGGACTAGGAAATTTCAATACCTGATATAAGGTTGAAGGCACCGCTCTCATGCTGCGAACCCATGTCCTTCCGAATAAGGCGTTGTAACTATATCCCCCTCGATCATGTAGAACTTTGTTTCTTGGGTGGTCCCGATAGTGTTTTTTGGTAATGTTATCTTACCCTTCGTGGTTTTGCACGCCATCTTAAATCCGTTCAATACACAGACTGCTAGTACGATTTGGTCCAATAATCCTAATTGTTCTACGACTATTGACCGGATGATGTTTGCCGAGCTACCTAGATCAATCAAAACATGTTTAACCCGATATTTATTGATAAGTACGAATATTACCAGTGCATCATTGTGAGGCTAGATGATGCCCTCGGTGTCTTCGTTGCTGAACAAGATGGCCCCTTACGTGACGTAATCCTGGGTGCATTTTTCCCCCTGTGATAGAAACTTTGGTTTGTTTTATCATTGGCCCTTGGGGAATATCCACTCCCACAATGATCATGTTGATCACGTGCTGGGGCTCCTCCTGTTCAACCTGTTTGTTGGCATCCCTATTTCTGAAGTGGTTTTTGGCCCGTTTGCTTTGGAATTCCTGAAGGTTCCCATTGTGGAACAATCGAGCTACTTCTTCTCTTAGCCGTCGACAATCTTTGGTCCTATGACCATGAGTACTGGGGTATTTACTGTAAGGCCCCGTGAAAACTTGTACTCAAAACCGGGTAGCTCATGGTGCCAAGTCCCTAATATATGTTAGGAATGTGTAAAATTAAGCAAGCCGAGGTTCGGACCCTTTTGGTACTGATCTATGTTATAAAAAGTCAAGAAATACTGTTTTCCAGGAAATGCAATTCTGCGGTCTAGAATGCGGTCGCATAACAGATATGCGGACCACAAAATTGCCGCAAAATGAGTCAGTGTGTTGGTCGAATTGGAGGTTAAATATGCGGTCCAATATGCGATCG